TAAACATTTGTTCAGTCATCGACGAGTACAAATACTGAATATTCGACCAAATAGGACTGCTTATTTGATAGACGGGCATTTATGTAACAAAAACAATATGAAATTTGGTTTAACGTAAGTAATTCACATTTATTTTCATTAAATTCTACTTTAATTTATAAAATTTATTTTATTTGCAAATTTCTCCTTAGATTTGCTTATTATTCATATGTCTTATAAGGTAGAAGTACCATTTGTGACCACATCTTTTATCAAAAAATAAATATATTAACGCACTATATTTAATTATAATTTCTTTTTTATCAAATCTAATATATATATATTATTAATTTGATTATAATTATACTAACAATTAACAAAAAATTGTTTTAATTTGCATTGTAAAAAATAAAAATTTATTTTCAATTGAGCCAACTGAATTTCCATCAAGAATAAGTTGGCACAGTGTTGTAAAATTATTTTAGAATTCTATAAATGTACATATAATGTAATAGTAATTTCAGAAATTTTAATAATATCAAAAGAAATCTAAAAGTGTCAAAAACTAGTGCAATGGTCACAATACAATAACAAGTTGTAAATTCAGATGTTCATTACATGAACATTTTGCTTCCTCTTTACGATCAGAAAAAAATTTGCTTCCTCGTGGAGAAAAAAAATTTTATTGCCAAGATGTGAATTTTTGATTTTTTAACTTTCATTAATTCTTTAAATTTACCTCAAATGTATACTTTATATATATCGTTCGATTCGTCTTGACGTAAGGAATACAATTATTTCATATATAAACTTCAATTTAAAAAATCACAAAGTTTTATAGCCAAAATGTGAATTTTTGATTTTGTAACTTTCATTAATTCTTTAAATTTAACTCAAATGTATACTTTATATATATCGATAGATTCGTCTTAACGTAAGGAATACGATTTTATTATATATAACCTTAAATTTTTCTATTTAAAAATTTTTTCGATTAAAAAAAAATTTTGGAAAAAAGACCATAAAATTTTTTTTGGAGTATTTTTCAAAATCCTTTGGTCAGATTTGAGATATTAATATGATAAATGAGCCTACCAAATTTTATCTAAATCCATTAAAACCTGTTAAAGTTATCTTCTAAACAAAAAAGGGATCCACACACACACATACATACATCCGGACAATTGATCAGGATCTCATATAACATGTTTCTGTAAAGAAAAAAATTTGTTTCCGCCACTTTGAAAAGTTTTATAAACGAAAGGACTACAAAGCTTCCTCCACGAGGAAGCAATATATAAATACAATATATACAATACAATACATTTACCCTACCAAATTTTTTATATAAAATATAATATTTGTGCTACAGAATTTTTGTTTAATCAATTTTTTATTAACACAAATTTTTCCATACCAAATTAAATTTAGTAAAATTTTTATTTATCCAAATATTGTTAAGAAGAATTTTTATTCAAACTGATTTTGTTTTACAAGCATTTTTAATTAACAGACTTTGTATTTAGCCTACATTTTTAATAACAAACTTTCTACTATATCAAAGTTACAATACAAATAATAATTTTAACAATTTTAATAAATACACTTTGAATAATAGAAATATTAAATTCCGCCCTTACACACGAAACGAAACGAAAGCCTTAGATAAAAAAGGAAACTGTTTCAAATACCTGGAACAAAAGTTTCCAGAAATCTCTGATGCGAAACTAAAAGAAGAGGTTTTCGACGGACCACGTATTCGCAAATTGTTAAAAGATGAGCAGTCTATCACCAAGATGAATAAAAAGGAGAAAGCCGCATGGCTTAGTTTTAAAGCAGTTGTCGAAAATTTTCTGGGTAATAACAAGAGTGAAAATTGGGAGCAAATAGTTAGTGATATGATTAAAAACTTTGGTAAGTTAGGATGCTTAATGAGCATAAAGTTGCATTACTTAGACTCGCATCGGGATCAATTCCCTGAGGGAGATTACAGTGAAGAACAAGGAGAACGATTCCATCAAGATCTGAAACAATTTGAGCGTCGTTATCAAGGAAGATGGGATGTAAATATGATGGCCGACTACTGTTGGATGCTGAAAAGGGATATTGCACCTGGAGGGACCAATTTGAAAAGAAAACCATTACACAGATCCTTTGAGGACAAAAGAGTGCGCTACCATAAAAAGACGTGAATACCTTACTTAAGTATATAAGAATTTCCATTTCTAGTTTTGAAAATCTAACTTTAGATTCGTAATCAGCGACCCAAAAAACCCCTAGATACAAAGTTTGAAGTAAATCCATCAATTTTTACAAAATTCGTCCGCCATATTGGAGCCGCCATTTTGAATTTTGAAAATCTAACTTCAAATTCGTCATCAGCGACCCAAAAAACCCCTAGATACCAAGTTTGATGTAAATCCATCAATTTAAAAAAAATAGGCTACCTCTCAAAATCCGACAGGTTTTTGGAGGTTAGAAAAAAATCCTGACGTGATAGAGCAAAACGGACTTCGGATTCGTGTTCAGCGCGTCAAAATACATAGGAAATGACTAGTCTGGTCTGCCGCGCACGACACTTTTTTTTGTGGGGCTGTGTAATTTAATTGAATAACTTATAAAAAAAAATTTTTTTGTGATGAAAAAAACCTTTAATTGTAATAAAAACTTGAAATCATTCAGTTTCAATTGAGATTCTAAATTACCTCGTAGGCTTATCTATAAAAAAAATATAAAATAAAATTTAAATAAAATAAAAGAAACTAGACAATTCCTAACAGCTATCAAGGTCAAATTCCCTATTCCCTAAATTAAATAATCTATTATAAGTAAATTAATTTTGCAGATATTTTCCTTAAACGCAAATTTATTCAACATGTTATTAATTTAACAACATATTAAAATGATCTAAGTCAAACGGAATATAAATGAAAAACTCATTTACTTCTCTGAAAAATTGCTAAATAAATAATTTAAATAAATTATTTATTTCCTAAATTAACTATTGATTGGAGGACAGGGATTCATAATCAATTGAATCTTACACATTAACAAATTGATCGCCTATTGCAATGAATTTGAGATATATGTATCTTCAAGAGACTTACGATTTGCTTTTGTTACCACTTAAGGATCCAGATAATGAGGTGGTACTCCGAGTTATCAGAAACCCCTCAAGTCTTTCTCCATGGCGTGACTTTGTAGATTATATGTTTTGAATTAAAGTGATTATTCACTTTTTCGTTTCTTCTACTTTCCTAATATTGACTTTAAATTTATTATTTGTTAAAATATTTTATTTCTTATATAATTCTGAGTTGGAACGGTTGTTAAACCAGCCTCTCAGATATTATATGAGATTAAAGAAAAATATGAATAATAAAAAAATATAAATAATAAAAATTTAATATTTTAAATAATAAAAGAATTTTAAATGCTTGTTCTTTTGTTCTTTTTGAACTTACTGTTTTATAGATAATTCCAATCACAATTAAACTTCACAAACTATCTGTCAAAAAATTATAATAAAATAAAGTTATATGTAGAGTGTCTGATTGAAATTCAGAGAATGAATGTCCAAATTTGGGTCTCCTTCTCTATTTATTAACTCGAGAAGACGCTTCATCCCCCAAATTTCTCTATATCCCTTGTATATTTAAATTTAGTAAGTGTGTTAGAGAGACTCTGATAGCTGATTGCTTGACAATCCGCGGTTTTCCCTTCCTACCTTTCTTCGTATACTTTTGCTGTATATTTCTTACCGCCAAATTTTCCCTCTAATCGCATTTTTCGCGGCGTCCTATTTTCTTAGCCAATAGTATTTAAATTGTTTTGGTAAGGATAGAGCGATTTCTCTCTTTCTAATTCCGTTGTAACGTATACAGGGAACAATGCCATTGTTCAGCTGTCAATCATTTCTCAATTATTACTATAATTTCTTTAAATCTTTAATATCTTAAAAAATAATAATTTGACAAAAATTTTACCTTTACCATTAATTTTTAAATAATTTTTACTTTTATTTAACATATAATTTTTATTTTAATATTATTATTTTAAGCAATTAAATAAAATAATTTATATTATTTTATGTAAAAAAAATGAAAAATATGGTTACTTAATTTAATAGTAGTTTATATTTATTTTTAATATTGTTAATAAAAAATCTTTAAATTTGAATTAAATTAATAATTTCTTTATATTCGAAAATATATCTTTCGTCTCTTACTATTATTTTTCCTTATGTATTCTTATATAGTGTTATCTATGAATGTCTTCTGTCTCTTTCTATTATTTCTGAAATTCTATTTCTCTAGATTTAAATTCATTTCTTAATATTTCTTTTCTTTGATTTTTATTAATAATTTATATCTTTTTTCTTTTAAAATAATTAATTAATTTTTTATAATAATTTTGCAAAATAAAATAATTTCTATTATTTTATTTATTGATATTTAAGATAATATAAAAGGGTATTTTATTTATATATTGTTAATTATTTAATATAATATTTAAACATTGAATTTATTTTACCTATGCATTTTTGTATTTTAGGGATTTCTATATTAGTGTATATTTTAGACTCATTGTTATTTTCACAATGTTTGTAAATTATATTTATAACAAAAGCAACGATGGCAACACAATTTTAATATAACGACGATTACACAATAATAATAATATTAGAACAAAATACTGTAACATAAACACAAATTCGTTTTTAATAAATGTCGTCGGGTAAGATTTTTAAATGATCCGTACGCGGTGACGTTTTCTTTGCAACTACTCTTCTCCAGTTTTCCCTTCTTCCTCAAGGACAGTTCAATTTTCCTACCTGTTATTGTCTTCACCAGTATCATAAACGCGTCATCGATTTGCCCTCCGGCGAGTCCGGTCTCTCTTTTGTGACGTAATTAACATACTCCACCCCAGTATGGATTGTGTTATACAATCATACTACGATTGTACTGGCTGTATTACAGCGATTTTAACAGCAGGTCTTTTAAACACGTGGCCGTTACTTGCACGTACGTCCGCCACACGAATACGACCATCTTTGCCCGGATACACAGCGATGATAATTCCTTTTTTATCCATAGATTTTCGGCTTGTCTTAAATCATCTGCAGTCGGTTTTGTTTTTTCCTTATGGAGCCATATTTCTGTCGCTACAATTATCCATGCGGTACTCCTAATTAGTCGTAGCCATTTTGAAAATCGAGTAACGTCCGGTAGATCCAACTCCTTTCGTATTTTCGTTATTGTTAGACAGGTGATCTTTTTCTCGATGTTAGTTTCGGTGATGATCTTTTTCATCATGGGTGATGGCCATTCGTCGTCGGTTTTCTTAAGGAACTCAGGTCCCTGCAGCCATGTTGATAGTTGGTCCTTTATCACTCCGCGATCTCTAGTAGCTGCATCCGCAGGGTTCTCTTTAGTACCTACCCATCTCCACTCTTTTGGGTTCGTTAATTCACTTATTTCACCAAGACGATGGGCTACGAATGCTTGATATTTATGAGGATCTGCATTTATCCAAGCTAGCACATTTCTAGAGTCAGTCCAAAAGAAGCGTTGATCTATTTTGATTCCCTGTTCTCGTGTCACATAATCAGCCAATCTGCTACCTATTAGAGCTCCCTGTAGCTCCATCCTCGGTATAGACGTTGGCTTCAATGGTGAAACTCGACTCTTTCCGGCAACATAGGATACTTCTACCGATCCATTTGGGTAAATTATTCTCAAATAAACAACGGCAGAATAAGCTTGTTCACTTGCGTCGGTGAAGGTGTGAAGTTCGAATCTCTTGGGTTTTTTGTGTCTTGTTTTGTAACATCTAGGTACTTTCGCCTTTTTAACTTCTTCTATGTCGAGTATCCACTGTTTCCATTTTTTAAATTCAGGATTTTTTAGCTTTTCATCCCAATCGATTCCACTTTTCCATACACTTTGAAGGAGGATTTTAGCCTTGATGTGATAAGGACTCAGCATTCCTAATGGATCAAAAACAGACATGACAAGTTGTAACATCTGGCGCTTCGTGGGTATTTCTGATCCATTCAAGATCCCCTTTGGTGTTCTTTTAAAGCTTAGATCGAAGGTAATTGTATCTGTTTTAGGATCCCATATCAGACCAAGTGTCCTGTGTATATTTACATCTGGTGTTTCTAGATTAATCGATCCTGTTGCCAATGATGTAGTTCCCAATTGAGATAATACCTTTTTGCTGTTCGAAGCCCATTTTTCTATTTCAAAACCTCCATTTTTATGTACTTTGATCACTTGCTTTATTTTAGTAACGGCTTTTTCTTCGTCTTCTGTACTATCCAAGTAGTCATCCACATAATGGTTGTCTAAAATGGCCTTGACCGCTTCTGGGTATTCATCTTCAAATTCTTTGGCATTTTTGTTCTTTATGTATTGGGCCGTATGCGGAGACGAGGCAGCTCCAAATACCATCGACGTCATCACGTACGTGAATGGTTCTTCCTCTCTGTTCCACCCTCGCCACAAGAATCTTTGGGCATTTTGGTCTTCCTCACGAATTTTTACTTGTAAAAACATTTCTTTGATGTCTCCTTTAAATGCAATTCTTTCCATCCGAAAACGCATCAATACGCTTAACAGTGGGGTCACTAAATCCGGCCCAGCCATCAACTGATCGTTTAATGACACCCCATCCACTTTTGCTGAAGCGTCGAATACGAGACGTAATTTTCCTGGTTTGTTCTGATTCGTAACTCCAAAGTGGGCCAAGTACCAAGTTCGATCGTTCGTTTTAAATGTGTCATCTACCTTTTTTGCGTAATTGGATTCGATTAATTTCTCCATTTCTCGGACATATTGATTTCCGTAGTCAATATCCCGGTCCATCTTACGTTCAATAGCTTCTAATCTTTTCTTCGCATACTCCTTAGTACTTGGCATTTTATAATGATCGTATTTCCACAATAGACCAGCTTCCCATTTATTTTCAATTCTTCGTGTGGTGTTTTCTAAAATGTTTTCGACTCGTTCTGCGTCTTTATCTTTTCGGCGTATCAGTTTAATTCCCATAGACTCAAAACTGAAATTTATTTTTACCATTCGATGAAGGTCGTTTTCTGTATCTGTATCGTCATTATCAATTATTTTATTTTGAGTTATCTGTGCGATATATTCTTCGCTTCTAATTGGGCGACTTCTTTTTATATTTCCGTGTATGGTCCATCCAAGAGGCGTGAGAGAACCTACTGGTTCATATATGCATGTTATTCTTGTTTCGATTGGCGTAATTAGATGACTGTTATCCTTGCCAATTAAAATTTTCGGTTTCACCGTGTTATGAAAATTTAAATTTAAATATTTCAAGTGTTCATATGAGTTAATGTCCTTTGTCTGCAGGCTTTGTGATGGCAATCTCAAGTTTTCTACGGTTTGTGCGTTTTTTATCTTATACATTTTCCTTTGTTTATCCGTCGGATTTCCTATATCAAATTCAATCAATTGGCTCTTGTTTTCGATTACTTCAGTCCCCTTGACTGCTTGAAGTCGCAGTACAGAATTTTTTCCTTCGGCTCCTATTTGTTCGGCTATTTCTGAATCCATTAAAGTTACCGTCGCTCCGTCATCCAATAAGGCGTATGTGAGGATACTTCCTTTGGGTCCACGTATGATTACGCGGATTATTTTCAATAAAACTAGTCAGCTTGAGATTCCTGCTTCTCCCTCTTCGGGGTCAGCGTTTGCATCCTTTTGTTTCCTTGCCTTTGGAAATCCACCATGGATTAATGAGTGGTGGCTTTTGGTACATCCACTAACGGTGCATCCCGCTGCAGTGCAGTCTCTGTTGAAGTGTGTGCTTGACAGACAGCGGTAACATAATCTTTTTTCCTTCACCCATTCCATACGGTTTTGCTTTGGCAGTTTTGTAAATTCTTCACAGTTAGAAATGTTGTGACCTTCTGTTTCACAATAATTACATCCATTCTCTAATTGTAAAGGTCCAGTTTTTGCTCGTTTAGCTGCCGGCGTTGTATTCGTGTGTAATATGGTGCGTTTTTTGAAATTATTTCCTCGAAAATTGGTTTGTTTCCCCAGTCGGTCTTTGGCACTTGCCTTCGTATCGTCGTTATTTACGCCCTTTTGTGATTGGTGATATAGCTCGCTTGTCCCTGCCTTGCATGCCATTTCCGCTTCTTGGAAGAGGAAATCTGATAATGTTACTAGTGAAGATTCCATTTCGTTTACACCATTACACAAATATCTGTGGTAAAGGTGAATCATGCTGGGTGGCAACTTTTTCAGTATTTCATTTGTTAGATCGGGACTGTAAAGGTACCCGATGTTGTTAGCTGATTGTATTGCCGCTACGCAATTTTTGACCTTAGTCGCAAATATCACAATACCTTCTCCTCTTTCATTTAAAGGTGGTAACGCCTTCAGGTCTTCGACTATCTTTTTTGCAACAGTTCCAGGATTTCCGTATCGCATATGTAAAATTTTAATAACATCGTCTGTACTGTCGGCCGTCATCATTACAGAAGCTACCGCCTCACGTGCTTCCCCTTTCAAGGATTCGTGTAGTCTCATAAGATTGTCATGCTCAGTCAGCCCTCCCATTTTTGTCGATCGTTCGAAAGCCCTTTTGAATGCAGGCCATTCCAGTACACTACCACTAAATTCAGGAAGTTTCTTGTTCATTGTCATATGTCCTAATAATTTTTTTGTTATTTCCTCTGTTTGTTCCAGTCCCATGTTCCTATGGACGTGCCAGTTGCTTTGTAGTCCTTCGTTGTCCGATGTATACAGCGGTTGTTGGTAACTGACATCTGCCCATTCTCGAGTTCGTTCGCGTCTGGTTCGATGAATATCGTTTTCATCGTCGTGTGTTTCGTAACCAATGCCATACTTTTTTGATTCATTATCGTCAATCCCTTCGTCAATTCGTCTTAATTCGTCTAAATATCGTTGTCTGGCAACTTCTCGTGCTTCCGCAGCTCCTTGTTCAAGTGAGTTCCTTGGTCGCTTCAGAAATCTATCGTTATTTATATCTTCACGATTTTTTTGTTTGTTTCGGATGTGTTGTCTTAAATCGTCATCCTCGCTTTCCATATGCGACTCTATTGTTCTTTGATTGCTGCAGTGACTCCGGCCACCACCCTCACCCCGTGAGGATCGATTCCGATTTCTAGATTGGCTGCGACTTCGACTGTGTCGTTCCGTCCCAAAGGATCTTCCTGCCGTGGACAAGCTGCTACGAATCTCACGTCGTTCATCATTTAGTCTACTATTGTGACTACCTGTCGTTAAGTAATTTGTCTCCTGTCTATTAGGTCTTTGACTACGATCTTCACCCCGTGTAGATCGAGTCAGCTCTCCGTATTGTCTTTGCCTTCCGATTCCTGATGTATCCCGCGAGGTCCTGGACCCTAAAGACATGCTTCGTCTGACTCCTCGGCTCTCATCGTGTCCTGATTCGGTTGCTTGAGCAGTCCGTGCTGATGGTCTCTGGACCACGTGCACGACGCTGCGAAGGCGTGGACGGCTCCCCGAGTCGTCCGCGTGACTGCGAGCACGTGGAAGGATCTCCGATCTGTTCAATGGGTTTCGAACACGAGAACCGCTCCCTGAGTCGTTCGATCGATTTTGGACACGCGAACGGCTCCCCGAGTCGTTCGATCGAATTTGAACACGTGAACGGCTCCCCGAGTCGTTCGATCGATTTTGGACACGCGAACGGCTCCCCGAGTCGTTCGATCGATTTTGAACACGTGAACGGCTGCCCGAGTCGTTCGATCGATTTTGAACACGTGAACGGCTGCCCGAGTCGTTCGATCGATCCCGATCACGTGAACGGCTCCCCGAGTCGTTCGATCGATTTTGAACACGTGAACGGCTCCCCGAGTCGTTCGATCGATCCCGATCACGTGAACGGCTCCCGGAGTCGTTCAATCGATCCCGACCACGTGAACGGCTCCCCGAGTCGTCTGGTGGTATATTAGGTTGTTCACTTTTACCCTTTCCGCGACCCCGTCCGCGTCCTTGAGGCATTTTATTTTCACAATCACTATTTCAATTATCGTCCTTCCATACCCGGCGCCTCCACCGTGTTATTTTCACAATGTTTGTAAATTATATTTATAACAAAAGCAACGATGGCAACACAATTTTAATATAACGACGATTACACAATAATAATAATATTAGAACAAAATACTGTAACATAAACACAAATTCGTTTTTAATAAATGTCGTCGGGTAAGATTTTTAAAGGATCCGTACGCGGTGACGTTTTCTTTGCAACTACTCTTCTCCAGTTTTCCCTTCTTCCTCAAGGACAGTTCAATTTTCCTACCTGTTATTGTCTTCACAAGTATCATAAACGCGTCATCGATTTGCCCTCCGGCGAGTCCGGTCTCTCTTTTGTGACGTAATTAACACTCATTCTCCTGAGTGCAAGTGTACTCATGAAAACAGTGTTCTTCTTTCTTATATTTTTCTTTACCCATGTATATATATATATATATACTAAAATGAAACGTTATATTTTTGAAATAAATGATACTCTATTTTCTTCCTCTCCTTGCATTTAAATAATTATAATCTATTGACTATTGGAATAACTCTTCAATATGCTTTAAATAACAAAAATTCAACAATTTTTAAATAAAATTTTAGAAAATTGTTTCTCCTTGCATAACGTACACTGCGTATTGATCCAGTTTAAATCTTGATGATAATAAAATAATGCATTTCATCAAATAATAATTTCATTATTCACATTTTTAATAGGCTTTGCTGTTTTGGATAAGAAAGACAATTGAGAAGAATAATAGAAGTCTTCCTCTCAATGGTTTGGAGAAGCGACTTTTAGTAGCAGTTTACACACAAAGGGCAAGAAATTTTTCTCCTTAAATTAAATTTACCATTTAAGTTAAGGTTTTTTAAAAAAAAAATTTCCAAATTAATTATTTCTTATTTATTAATTGAATTTTTTAAATTGAATAATTTGTATAAAAAAATTACAAATAAAAACTTTTTAATTAATTCAATTAAATCTGTAAACAATTTTTCACTAACTTAAAAAACATATTAGATTTAAAAATTTTCAATTAATTTGTCAATAAATATTCTTTTCAAAAATTAAAAAAAATCAATTATGGTAAGTTGGGGTAAATGGGGACAAGAGGTTTTGTAGCTGAATTTGCAGTTTTAAAATTAAGTTTAACGTCAATATTTTAACCTCAGATCACCTGCAAGAGGTTTTGAGTATTGCCAAGCTTTTATTTTGACAATTGGCAGCAAGATAATTCAAGTTATCGCTTAATGCATAAAAACTTGTAACTTTGTTTCAGTATTTTGTCGAGCATTTCAAAGAAAACAGACTTAAAAATCATACCAAATTTTTTTCTTATTCCTTATGACTCACATAACAGAAATTCACTTGAATTTTTGTCATTTTGTTCAATAATGACAAGCTATCCCCATTTACCCTGAGTTTTCAAATTTTTGGGGAACTGGGGACAGCTTGTCATTATTAACCAAATTAACAAAAATCAAAATTTCAAGTGAATTTCTGTTATAGGAGTCATAAGGAATAAGAAAAAAATTAAGGTATGATTTTTAAGTCTGTTTTTTTTCAAATGCGAGACAAAGTACTGAAATAAAAAAAAATAAAAAAATTTTCAATTGGTTCAATTATTATACATCTACTACAAATTCTTTTTAAGTTTTTTCATCCCTTAATACAGTAATATACTTAAGAAAACTTTTTTTCTTGAAAATTTCTTAGAAAATATGCTGTCCCCATTTACCCCAAATTTTATGAAATTTTGGGGTAAGTTTCATGCGTTTAAAGCTTATCTAAATTTTTTTCTATTGCATAAAATTAAACCTGGGAATGTAAATAACAACTAAAAAAATAAACCCGCAAATATTACCTTTTAAAGGAAGAAACTTACATAATTTGTGAAAAATATCGATTTTGTCTCCATTTACCCCAACTGACCCTAAATTAAATTATTAAGTTTTTACAAGTTTAAAAATATTTTATTTTCAATTATTTAATTTCAATTTTTCTTTAATATTTTTTTTATTTTATTTATCTATTTTTAATTCTTTATTTTGACAATCTTTATTAAAAAAAAATTTTTTAAAGACTTTTCGTCAAATTTCTTAAATTTTAAAGTTTTGCAAAAGTATGGAAAGAGTGTGCGATTTTGACTAAGTAACATCGAATTCGTAATCATATTTTCTGTATATTTTGGACACTTTTTGTCGAATTCCTTCGGCCAGCCAAGGGGTTAAAAAAAGTTTTAGGGTTTCAGAATAAGAATCTAAATTCAGATTTTAAAAATTTTATTTCATAAAAATTTTTAATTTACTTATAAATAAATGAGTAAATAAATAATAATAATTACTAACATAAATAAACATTTCATTGGGCTTAATTATATTCTTCTGGAGTATAATTTTTATCCGCGTTTTTCTTTTTATATTTTTTTTTTGGTTGACCTTGGCCAAATGCATTACGCAGTTTTTGGATTTTTTTTCCTTTTTTTCTTCTTCTTCTAAGAACTGAAACAATTATACCTATGTACATATTA